CTGGGGGAGAACAGGAGCTGCTGGAAGAGCTGGGTGGAGGTGGGAGAGAACACAGAGGGCAGTGGCAGCCCTGTCAGCCAGGTGTTACTCCCAGCACAGCAGTCACATCCCAGTAATTCCCATGGCACCAGCCAACACCACAGCCCTGGGTGACAGCAATTAGCAGTGCTCTGAGCCTTAATTAACGGGCTCAGGCTCCCCAGCAGCAGCGTGGGCAGGGCCCCACTGCACAGCCCAGAACCCCAACGAGCCCCTCTGGCTTTCCCAGGGCTGCCCTGGGGGCCTCACCTGCCGCAGGAACTGCTTGCCCAGGTAGCTGGTTGCCATGCTGGTCAGGTTCTTCCTGCTGCCAACTTTACACCTGATGTAGCCGTAGAGGTTGGCTCCCTGCAGCACCACCCCCATCACCACCACTGCCTGCGACAGGGAAAAGCATCAGCAGCTGGCAGCTCCTGGCTCAGACAGGGCAGGGCCAGAGCAGCCCGGGGGGCACTCACCAACCACTTCACTTTGAAAGAGAAGAGAGCACTGAAGGCAAAGATCACCCAGATCATGGGGCAGGTGATCAGGCCCAGCCAGAAAATTCGGGACTCTGCTTCAGATGAGGTCTTACCCCCTTGTGCTGACACCTGGAACAGAAAGGAAATGGCAGTGACCAGGCTGCTCCATCCTACAGATCCCACATCCTTAAAACCAGGGCAGAATCCCCACACTCCCTGGGATTTCCCTCCACACAACAGCACTGGGTGCCTCCAGGATTAATTTCCACATCACACAAAGACATCTCTGCAACAGGAAGTGTTTCCACTTAAGGGAACCTTTTCAGTTTTCTCTCAGAATCACTGGAGGCAGCAGCATCAAAACCTCTTTGAATGCTTGGAGCAAGAAGGGTAATTTGGGAAAAATGACATTTCCTGCAAGGTTCAGTTACAAAGCTCAGAAACAGCCAAAGGAGTCATTTCCTACCTCCAAAAACCACAGACTTACAGTACTTATATTAAGCCAGATCAATACATCGTGAGAACTTTTTAATAACCCAACAATCAGAAAGCTCATCCAGCAGCCTGCACAGTTCCCTGTGCAACCCCCCCTTCTCCAGCAGCACCACCAACCACCAGGGGTTCCTAAAGCAGACAGGAGTACAAGAACCAAATCACCAACCTTCCTGGCCTCAAACACCCAGTGACTCCTGCCATCATCATCCACCTGGTTCCACCAGCGAAGGCCGACCATGAGCCGCCCTGTGACGTTCTGCAAGAGAGGAGAACCCATGAGCTCTGGGGTCCTGTGCAAAGAACCCTCCTGCCACAGCTCAGGGCCGGGCTGCTGCTTTCCACAGCGCCTGTCTGCCTCACACTGGGAGAATGAGAGCCACAACAAGCCATTTCCTCAGAGATCCAGCAGGTCTCTGGTGCTTCTGAGCAGGTAACAAAGCCTGGGCTGCCTCAAAAGGGAGCCTAACAAATGCTCTCCCCTGGAGTTTCCAAAGGAACCAAGTGCACAGAAATGTCAGAGTTTATTTCATAAAGCTCTGCAATCCCCTCCAGCACTTGAGGGTGTTTTGGGGGTACCATTTTGTGGGAGAGGCACAAAGAAATGACTTTTCTGAGACATGAGCATCACTGTCGATTATTTTTACACAGCAAGACAAAGACAACAAAAAGCACAAGAGGAACTCACCTTTACAGCCCAGAAGTCACAGGACAGGAGGAGGATGATGGTCACCATGCAGGCAATGAAGCTGTTGGTTAAGAGCTCACAGAGCAGATAAACAACGATGGCACTGACTCGGAAGAATAAGTGGAAAAATGATGCCACTGGGTGCCTGGAATGAAGGACAGGACAGTCACAGCTCCTGCAGACAAGTGACACTGCCAGGGGTAAGGGTCAGCATTGTAACATGAACCCAGTGTTCTGGAAACATGGGAAATAACTGCCTGGGAGGTGACACAAGGAAGAGACATTCCAGAAACTCCCTCTGTCCCCACCAACCTTATTTTTGACTTTTTGGATCTCCTGGATGCATCATCATCTGCATCAAAGAGAGACACATCTTCAATGTCATCACTGCTGTCCTGAGGGGGGGAGCAGAGGCAAAGGGTTACAGGAGAAAAATGAAACCAGATGTTTTCAACATCAGCCTGGGACAGTGCTCATCACCCAGAAAACCACAAAGGCACCTCAGGATCAGAATTCATTTGGGAAGAAGGTGAAGATTTAGCCACACACAAGCCTACAGTGTGATCTCAGAAATGATCATCGGGGCTCAGACTGGTGAGCTGCAGCTGGGCTGATCACAAACCCCAATGCTTCCAGGTGTGGAAAGAGCACACCTGGCTCTGGCACACCTGGCTCTGGCACACCTGGCTCTGGCACACAGCCTCCAACGCGTGCCCTCCTTGCCCGGTGACTCCAGCTGGGGCAGTGTTTTTGTTCCTGAGCCTTCCAGGACAGTCACTGCCCGGGACTGCGGCCAGGACGGAGAACTGAGAGAAGCTGTTCTGCTGGGAGCCCCAGTGGTGCCAAGTGAGCCCCGAGCTGTGGGTGCCAGCAGCTCTGCCCGTGTCACACACTGCCAGGCACCGTCCATGTCACACACTGCCAGGCTCCGTCCGTGTCACACACTGCCAGGTAACCGTCCATGTCACACAGCACCGGCACGGCCGTGTCACACACCGCTCCGGCCGTGTCACACACCGCTCCGGCCGTGTCACACACCGCTCCGGCCGTGTCACACACCATCGGGCACGGCCGTGTCACACACCGCTCCGGCCGTGTCACACACCGCTCCGGCCGTGTCACGCAGCGCCGGGCACGGCCGTGTCACACAGCACCGGGCACGGCCGTGTCACACACCGCTCCGGCCGTGTCACACACCGCTCCGGCCGTGTCACGCAGCGCCGGGCACCGGCCGTGGAGCCCCGCGGGGCCCTTGGTACGGACGGGAGGGCCTGTCACGGCAGGAAGGGCCTCCGCGCCCCGCAGCTCGCCCGGGGCCTGTGGGAAGGGGGTCCCGCTCCGGGATCCTATGATCCGTGCCCAGGCCCCTGCTCCGGCCCCGGTCTCGAGATCCCGGTCCCGGGTCCCGTGTCCCATGCCCAAGCCCCTGATCCCGGTCCCGAATGCCGGTCCCGAATACCAATGCCGGTCCCGGTGCCGGTCCCGGTCTCGTGTCCCATGCCCAATCCCCCGGTCCCGGTCCCGGTCCCGTACCATGGTCGGAGCCGCCACTTCCGCCTCGCCGCTCGCGTCACGGCCGCGGACCAATCGCGGCGCGTCCCGTGACCCCGCTCCGCCGCTCCGCTCCCTGCGCGTGCGCGCTAGCGGGAGCCGGGCGCGAGACGTGGCCGCGGCCGCTCCCGCCAACGGCCCTGAGGGGAGCGGGGGGGCCCGGGGGGACCCTGAGGGACCGGCACCGCCTGAAGGGAGCGGGGGGACCCTGAGGGACCGGCACCGCCTGAAGGGAGCGGGGGGATCCCGGGAAACCGGCACCGGCACCGCCTGAGGGGAGCGGGAGGGATCCTGAGGGACCGGCACCGCTTGAGGGGAGCGGGGGGACCCTGAGGGGGTCCCGGGAACCGGCACCGCCTGAAGGGAGCGGGGGGATCCGGGGTGCTGGCCCCTGAACGCCCACAGGTTCAGGGAGCTGCTGATTTACGGACTCCCAAGTTGAACACAACCCTGTGATCCTCCTCACTTCGTCATGGCCAAAAAGGAACCAGCCCTTCCGTGCTGTTTTTCTACCAGGCTTTATTGAGAGACGCGGGTTGTGGCGCGGTTCCTTGGCCGCAGCCGGGCGGGTTTGTCCTCGTTCCTTGGGAGCAGCTGCCATCGTGTGGCGGAGCTGCCATCATCCGCCCCGCCGCTCGGTTCCTGTGCCGTGCCAGCTGCCTGCCTCCCCGCGGGCACACTCGCCGGCTTCATCCCAGCGTGTGCGAGTCGAAGATGGCATTGAATTAAACAAACCCACACTAATCACAGCCCCAACGTGGGGAGAGTTTCAGAGACTCTAATTTCAAACCAGAACAGCTGCTGAAAGCCCCTTGGCATCACCATGGGCAGAAGTGGCCTCTCTCAAACCTCTGATACAACAGATTTTTGGTACGCCAGCCCAGACACTCAAAGCTAGATAAATAGCGTTTTTCAAATACTAGAAAGGCTTTTGTCACCTTGTTAAGTTCTCAGCATTATTGGAAACCACAAAATGACAGAGTAGTTGGGGTTGGAAGAAACCTTAAAGACCATCCAGTTCCATCCCCCTGCCATGGACAGGAAACCTTCCGCAGTCAAGTGCAAGTAGGCATTTATCCACAGAAATGAGGAGATTGAACCCCTTACCCTGTTTTGCATTTCATAGAAATGAAGCCTAAGCTGCTTTCCCCAGGGGCTGGGGCAGCTCCTCCCCAGGGCAGCACTGCAGCCTCCCTGCTGGACCTCCCCAGGGTTCCCTCAGCTCTGTCCAGCCTGGCTGGCTCCCTCGGGATGGCAGCACCTCTGCTCTGGGGCATTAATTAATGGTGATGTTAAAATCAGACCCAGCATCAACCCCCAGTTACCAGCCTCCAAGCAGACTTTGTGTCACCGATCCATCAGCTTTCAGTCCACGCATCTTCAGCTTCTACACCCTAATCAATCCACAGAAGCTCTGATAAGAAGTTTTTATTATTATTCTCCCAGGACTGAGCCCATCCTGAGCTGTGTTGGTGTCAGACAGTGCCATGTTGGAAACAACAGCAGGTTTAGGGAGTTAAATCCAGGAGAGAGCTCAGTCCATTCCCTGCCTTGACAAATAGCTGAATATACCAACAGTATTTCTTAGGAAAACTTACAGTGGGGCAGTGTTTTACACTTACAACCACAGGGAGTATACTTAAATAAACTAAACATACTTAAATATATATAAATGAATATATCTGTATTTTATACTTAAAGCCACATGGCAGACTCAGCTGGACACCAGAATCCCAGGTCATGGCTGCTGTCTAGACCTGGGGATCACCTCAGATAAATGTGTTATGCCCAAGTTCTGGAGCAGGTGTTTTCCTCTCCCCAGTAAAAGAATCCACAGGTAGGCCTTTCATTTTCCTCAGCCAGGCTTTCCTTCTGGCTCTGTCTTTGTCTTCCGTGGGCTTTGCCTGCTGTGCCTGGTGCTGAGCTGCCACAGCTGCCTCACGCAGCTCCTGCTCTGCAGTCAGGAGCCTGAACCCACTGTCCCTGCGGGAAGCGGAGGCACAGGAGGGCTTTATTCTCCTGGCAGCTCCGTTCCTCATCTCTGCAGCCCTGCCAGGCGTCGGTTGGATCAGCTCTGAGGAAGCTGTGCAGAGATCGATGAGCTGATGCCCCTCTTTGGAACCAGGAGTTTCTTTCCCACGGCCGCTGGGAGCTTTCCTTTCTCCCAGCGAGCCACGGAGCTTGGGACATACAACACAGGGAGCAGGAATGGAGGATTTCACAGCGGGGCTGTGCAAAGAGCTCTCCAGCCTGAGCCGCAGCATTTTGGTTTCAAAGGGAGTTGAGATTTTTGCCACGGCCAGCGAACGGCTGTGCAGCCTGGCGCGCTGGAGCCGGCACCGCTGCTCCTGGTGCTGCAGGGCCGCCCTGGGCACCGGCCGCTGCCCGGGGCGCTGCTGCTGGGCTGCCCTGGCCCTTGCAGAGAGCAGGCTGGGGCTGCGGCTGCCTGCGCCGGCCCTGCAGGAGCTCTGCAGCGTGCCGATCGTCAGGAGGAACTTGTCAGGGGACATGGGACTCCTTGGGTCTCTCTGGGGCAGCTCACACTCCAAAGTGGCCTCTGCCTCCTCAGCTGCAGGGGAAGCAGAGCCCGGTTCAGCTTCATCACCTGTAGCCAAAACCAAAGCAACACATTTGGGGTTGAGAGGCTTTCCCACACACTGCAGAGCACAGGGTCAGAGAATCACAGAATGAGCTGAGTTGGGAGGGACCCCCAGGGATCACCCAGCCCAGCCCCTGGCCCTGCCCAGACCCCAACAACCCCAGCCTGGGCATCCCTGGCAGCGCTGCCCAAAGGCTCCTGGAGCTCTGGCAGCCTTGGGGCCGTGCCCATTCCCTGGGCAGTGCCAGCACCTCTGGGGGAGCCTGGGCAGTGCCAGCACCTCTGGGGGAGCCTGGGCAGTGCCAGCACCCTCTGGGGGAAGAACCTTCCCCTGGTCTCCAGCCTAAACTGCCCTGGCCCAGCTCCTGCTGTTCCCTGGGTCCTGTCTTTTACCAAGCAGAGCATCAGCTGGCATCTGCTGGCCTGGACAGCAGGAACCTTTTCCCAGCCCATCACTTTATCTGCAATACTCAGTTTGTAGAGCTGAAGGATTTGTCATCACACTGCATTGAATAGCTCTGACTAAAAACAAAATAACATCACTGTGTTACAATTGAAAAGGTGCCTGTTTCTGGGCAGTTGCCTTTCCCAGTGATGGCAGATCCTGAATGTAGGTGTTCTCTCACTTTCTCGGGTGTTTGCAATGAATAATTCAAGCCCTGAATCAGCAGCGTGTTTCCAAGCCCACCAGCTGTGCGAATATGAATACTACTACTGATTTCTGTCTTACTCAGTTGGAAAATGACAGTGCCTGTCTTGAAAAATGTGTTGAAGTTACACCAACCCCTTGTAAAAAGGCAGAAGGGTTTCACAGAAGCCTAGAAAATGACAGAACCATTGAAATGGAACAGCACATCTGCTCTTGACAACAGCAGAGTCTGAATATTGGCTGGGCTGGGGGCAGTGCCTGCTTGGTTTGTAGCTCAGTTTAGAAAAGCCAGAAAAGAAGAGGCTCAGTGTGATACTTTTGGGTCTTCCACGGCTCTTTGGTCTCTGGCGAGATTTTGGGGACTTGTCTGGAGCTCGCTGCTGCTCTGCACCGGTGCCCTGGCGCTTCCCCTTCTGGGACCTCCTGTCTTCCTTGGGCACCTCTCTGTCGGCGGGGAGGGAGTAGTGCCACGCCACCTCCTCGAACTGGAGCAGCAGCAGCCTGCTGGGGGAGTTGGTCAGCACCCTGCAGGAGGGAGGGGAGAGCCATAAAAGCACAGGGATCACAGACACAGCAGGTCCTGCCTGAGGGGCTCCTGTGCAACGCAAACCCCGCGGCCTCCAACAGATCTGAGATCATTGTCTCTCCGGGAAGGAGCAGCAGCGATTGACCCCATCAATCAGACACTGCACATTTTAACTTGTGCTCTGTGCGAGTCTCTGGTGTTCTTTTCATTCAGCTCCATGGCAAAATTAATTTAAAAATAATTAAGGTGAAAATTTCCAGCAGTGGACAGAGCTAGATCAGAGTAGTGCTAAAGGATGCGAGTACCTAAGTACAAATACCATATTGTCAGGGACATCTAAGTGTGGATTGAAGGGCTGTGCTGGTCTGGTTGGGCTGGTGTCAATTCCTTCATAGCTGCCCATTTATTGCTGTGTTTTAGAGTGTGGCCAACCCAGCCCTCAAACCACAGCAATGTTTTACCCTTTGCTTCCACAGAAGCTGGGAGCCACCTTTAGTTAGAGGTGCAAAAGTGAATGAACCTGAAGGATTTCTCATTATTGGCCTTTACAAAGAGGCTGTAGGTCAGGGAACAGGCAGAGACTGTCAGGTATTGGCTTGATTCTCCAACCTCCTAAGAATTTCTGAATTCAGCTTTACAGCTGGGTCCGTATCTTCAGCTGTAGAGAAACAGGAGATTGTACGTTGCTGAAGAGACTGAAGAAATCTTTTCAGACACTGTGAACTAAACCAGATCATTGAAGCAGCTAATAAATAGTGGAGTCCTTTAAAAGTTATTTGTGAGAAGGAAAAACGCACAGTTCCTTGAATTTCAGTGCAATCCACCAAACCTGGGCCAGAGGCTGCTGGCAGCTGCTGTCACCCACCTGTTGCCTGCGACACAGAGAGCAGACACGGGGTCCCCGCTGCCGCTGGGCTCCAGCACTTTGAGGCAGGTGCCAGTCAGGAAGCTGAATATCCGAATGCATCCATCAGCACAGCCACTGACGACTCTGAGGTACAGGAACTCCAGGGACAGCACTTCCCTGCAAACACACCAGGCCAGTTGGTGTTCCATGGTGCTGGCACAAGGGGAAATGGTCAGAGAGCTCCTTCAGCCTGCAGGAGCAGCAGAGCTCTGGCTGCAGCAGCAGCCTGCACTGAGGAGCTGATCAGGGCATTGCACAGGTCTGACAGAGACCTCTCAGGTCATGTCCAAACCAACAGCCCCGTGCATCCTTCCACTGGAAGGTGTCCCTGCCCGTGGCAGGGGGGTGGAATGAGGTGATCTTTAGGGTCCCTTCCAACCCAAACCATCCCGGGATTCTGTGATTCCATGCTCCCCATAGCAACCATATGGTCGTGGCCATCTGCTGCATTTGAAATTTCAGTTTTATGTCCAGGAAAATCAATGAAAGCCATACGATCCTCCAGTTTTCACAGCTCTAGATACAATTTAAGTCTGAGAGGATGGCGTAACGCACAGTTGGTCAGCATGAAACTGGGCCACCTCTATTCCTGCCCAGGTGATGTGACACCCTGTGGCACACAGCGGGGGATCCTTGCAATACTGGGCTGTGCTGTCTGCCTTTGGTCACCCCTGGTTGTGAGAAAGGGTTGTGGGTTTGCATTTCAGATTGTTCCAGCTCTTAACTGAAAATGCTTCTTGTGACCGCGGGGTGTCTGACAGAGCCTTTGAGATAAAGATTGGTGCAAGTGGGATATTTCAAATCCTCAGACTGGTAATTAAGGCATTTTCTGGTCCTGTAAGGGGCACTTGTTCTGTACAGTTTCAGTCCACTGTTGAATACAACTTGAAACACATCTGATTCCTACTTGGGATGGAAGAAAGCTATCAGGCATCTCCTAAATTTTCCCAACATGCTCCATCCCAGGGCATATCCATCACTGCCCCCTGTGACGAGGTGCCACTGGTCAAAGGCCAAGCAGAGAACTGGGCCTTGGTGCCTCTCTAATGTCTGCAAAGTAAAAGAAGAAGGTGCAACACAATCAGTAATGGGGATGTAAATCTGTCTGAGGTGTCCCATGGCTTTCAGGACACCAACCTAACATGGTTTTATAGTGGTATGGTACCAGTGCCCCCCATGGATAACTGTGATTGTTTTATAGTCACTGAAATGTTCTGGGCTTGGTGCTGCTGCTGAGCTCCTGGCATGGAATTACATCCCTTTTCCATCTTTATTACATGGGATTATTTTCTTTTTTAGAAAGTCTTTGGCAAACGCAAAAAAACCTGTTATAAACTAGCAGAGAATGGTGACCATTTAGCACAGAATTATCCACCCCAGAGGAAACTCACCTTGATCAGAGCCCCTGTCTCTGCACTCCAGATCTTCACCAGCCCTCGGTGCCCCCCACTGACCACGTGGGTCCCGTCCATCCTCACTGCCCCCACAGGGCTGCTGTGCATCAGAGTCCTGAGGCATTCCCCACTCCTCAGGCTCCACACTGCTGGGGCAGCAAGGAGGAGAATTAAAAATGCATCTGCCCAGTGATGAGTTTTGGGAGTACGACATGCCTTAAAAAATACTATTGGATTACAGTCACACCTTGTACCTGCAGCTCTGTGAGGAGCTGAGTGCTGGCTTAAAAAGCATAATTGCATGGCAAACAATTTAAATGTGAAGTCCAGAAAAAGCACATCTTTTTCACCTTGATTCTGTAAGGAAACATCTGGCAAAGCTGAAAGTTGATGCCACTTGCCCAAGAGTTGGGATGGCATTACAGCCACAAAGCTACTAATTCTGAATAAAAGCAGAAATAATGAGAATTTAGTCCCTGACATAATCAGAGACTGTGTGTGCACGTGTCCCCAGCTATGACTCACAGCTCACTCCCCACAGCCGCCTGCCCATGGTTCTGCAGTGGTTCCCTCTGGCTGAGGGCTCCCAGTGCTCCTGTCCCTCCCCTTTCACCTTTCACCTTTCACCATGCCATCCCCAGCTCCCAGTGCTCCTGTCCCTCACCTTTCACCTTTCACCATGCCATCCCCAGCTCCCAGTGCCCTCACCTTTCGCCATGCCATCCCCAGCTCCCAGTGCCCTCACCTTTCACCTTTCACCATGCCATCCCCAGCTCCCAGTGCCCTCACCTTTCACCATGCCATCCCCAGCTCCCAGTGCTCTCACCTTTCACCTTTCACCATGCCATCCCCAGCTCCCAGTGCTCCTGTCCCTCACCTTTCACCTTTCACCATGCCATCCCCAGCTCCCAGTGCCCTCACCTTTCGCCATGCCATCCCCAGCTCCCAGTGCTCTCACCTTTCACCATGCCATCCCCAGCTCCCAGTGCTCCTGTCCCTCACCTTTCACCTCTCACCATGCCATCCCCAGCTCCCAGTGCCCTCACCTTTCACCTTTCACCATGCCATCCCCAGCTCCCAGTGCTCCTGTCCCTCACCTTTCACCTTTCACCATGCCATCCCCAGCTCCCAGTGCTCCTGTCCCTCACCTCTCACCATGCCATCCCCAGCTCCCAGTGCCCTCACCTTTCACCATGCCATCCCCAGCTGCCAGTGCTCCTGTCCCTCACCTTTCACCATGCCATCCCCAGCTGCCAGTGCACTCACCTTTCACCATGCCATCCCCAGCTGCCAGTGCTCCTGTCCCTCACCTTTCACCATGCCATCCCCAGCTGCCAGTGCTCCTGTCCCTCACCTCTCACCATGCCATCCCCAGCTCCCAGTGCTCTCACCTCTCACCATGCCATCCCCAGCTCCCAGTGCTCTCACCTTTCACCATGCCATCCCCAGCTCCCAGTGCCCTCACCTTTCACCTTTCACCATACCATCCCCAGCTCCCAGTGCTCTCACCTTTCACCATGCCATCCCCAGCTCCCAGTGCTCTCACCTTTCACCATACCATCCCCAGCTCCCAGTGCCCTCACCTTTCACCATGCCATCCCCAGCTCCTGACACCAGGTGCTCCTGGTGGGAATGCAGGCAGGTGATGGTCGCATAGTGACCCGTGAAGGTTCTCACACAGGCCCCACTGTGAATATTCCAGCACCTGCAGAGAGGAGAACTTTAGGATTCCTTCCATGTGGTTCCATTATTATTTCTTATTTAACGTGCCCAGCTGTGCTCCCACACACAGGTTAAAATCAGGAGCTGTTCTGCTGAGGTGTCACAGCAGTTGCAGCGGCAGGTCAGGCTCAGCATTAACGTTTGCCCCTGTCCCTCCCTCTCCCCTCACTGTGGCAGGCTGGGTGTACTGGCACAGCCCCAGCTCACCTGATGCTGAGCTCCAGGCTGGGTGTCCTGGCACAGCCCCAGCTCACCTGATGCTGGGCTCCAGGCTGGGTGAACCTGGCCCAGCCCCAGCTCACCTGATGCTGGGCTCCAGGCTGGGTGTCCTGGCACAGCCCCAGCTCACCTGATGCTGGGCTCCAGGCTGGTGCTGCTGAACTCTCAGCTCACCTGATGCTGGGCTCCAGGCTGGTGCTGCTGAGCAGGAACCCTCAGCTCACCTGATGCTGGGCTCCAGGCTGGTGCTGCTGAACTCTCAGCTCACCTGATGCTGGGCTCCAGGCTGGTGCTGCTGAGCAGGAACCCTCAGCTCACCTGATGCTGGGCTCCAGGCTGGTGCTGCTGAACTCTCAGCTCACCTGATGCTGGGCTCCAGGCTGGGTGTCCTGGCACAGCCCCAGCTCACCTGATGCTGGGCTCCAGGCTGGGTGAACCTGGCACAGCCCCAGCTCACCTGATGCTGGGCTCCAGGCTGGTGCTGCTGAGCAGGATCCCTCAGCTCACCTGATGCTGGGCTCCAGGCTGGTGCTGCTGAGCAGGAGCTCTCAGCTCACCTGATGCTGGGCTCCAGGCTGGTGCTGCTGAGCAGGAACCCTCAGCTCACCTGATGCCAAGCTCCAGGCTGGTGCTGCTGAGCAGGATCCCCCAGCTCACCTGATGCTGGGCTCCAGGCTGGTGCTGCTGAGCAGGATCCCTCACCTCACCTGATGCTGGGCTCCAGGCTGGTGCTGCTGAGCAGGATCCCTCACCTCACCTGATGCTGGGCTCCAGGCTGGTGCTGCTGAGCAGGATCCCTCACCTCACCTGATGCTGGGCTCCAGGCTGATGCTGCTGAGCAGGAACCCTCAGCTCACCTGATGCTGGGCTCCAGGCTGGTGCTGCTGAACTCTCAGCTCACCTGATGCCAAGCTCCAGGCTGGTGCTGCTGAGCAGGATCCCCCAGCTCACCTGATGCTGGGCTCCAGGCTGGTGCTGCTGAACTCTCAGCTCACCTGATGCCAAGCTCCAGGCTGGTGCTGCTGAGCAGGAACCCTCACCTCACCTGATGCTGGGCTCCAGGCTGGTGCTGCTGAGCAGGAACCCTCAGCTCACCTGATGCTGGGCTCCAGGCTGGTGCTGCTGAACTCTCAGCTCACCTGATGCTGAGCTCCAGGCTGGTGCTGCTGAGCAGGAACCCTCAGCTCACCTGATGCTGGGCTCCAGGCTGGTGCTGCTGAGCAGGAGCTCTCACCTCACCTGATGCTGAGCAGGAACCCTCAGCTCACCTGATGCTGGGCTCCAGGCTGGTGCTGCTGAGCAGGATCCCTCTGTCCTCACGCAGGCACAGGGCTCTGATGGGCCCGGCGTGGCCGTGCAGCCGCAGCTCCTCCTTCCCTCCTGGCACACGGAGCAGCCTCAGCCTCCTGCTGCCAGCAGCCACCCAGTCCCCACCGCTGAAATGGGCTCTCCTTGCCCTGTCAGACCTGCCAGGAGCAGTGCCTGGCTGAGCTTTAGCAGGCCTGGCTCAGCACTGCCCTCCTTCAGCTGGGCATGGTGGGCAGAGGTGAATCCTTTGCAGGGCACCACCACAGCCCCTAAATCTGCACTTCCCCCTTGGTATCAGGGTGGGCAGAGGGGCGAGGGCTCCTCCCAGCCCCATATCCCTCGGGATACACCATGGATCACCAACCCTTATTCCTTTAAAACCAGCTTATCTTGGCATCTTTATTTTTAAAATGGAGATTTCTTAACACTGACACCGAGGGACCCTTCTCCAGCCATCCAGGAGGATCACAGGGAAGGGAACAGCTTTCCTAGAGCTGCTCTTGGCCCCAGAGCTGGGCACTCTACTCACTGCTCCAGGAGGACACAGGTCTTGTAGGGGCCACAGAAGACATTCCTCTCTTCCAGCTCGATCTTGTCAGTTTTCAGTTCCCGATAGGCTTCGTGCAGACCCAAATCCTCTGTCTGATGACAAGAGAAATAAGGAAAAGTAACTCAGAGAGGCAGGAATGCAGCATTATTCTATAGTGTTGAACCTAGCAGCTCCAGGGAGGGGCCCAGAGTAAGGAATACCAGAGTGCAGCAAGGCCCTGCTTAGTCCAGGGCTGTTCCCAGGCCGTGTTCTGTGGCATAAATGGAAGCCCTGAGAGCTGCACCCTTTATTCTGAGGGAAGAAGGCCCCTGGCCCTAGGATTGTGCCATGACTGGGGACAAACGGGAGTGAGGCAGAAGTCTGGGAATGCCTCCCAAACTCCCTCCCGTGTGGGAAGGTGCTGAGCAAGCCCTGGTCCCTATGAGCTGCTCAGGATGGGGCAATCCAAAGGCAGGAGTGGGAAAGAATGAAGCAATTCCAAATTCACTGTGCTGTCTCCCATGAGCTGTCCTCTCTCCTCCCCAAACACTGACATGCAGCATCCAACAAACCTTGGATTTGCGCCTCTTCTTCTGCTCCTTGTCCTTCACTTCAGTGACCTCACCCTCATCGTTTAACTGGGGAATTTGCACATCGACTCTTTTAGCATAGTTTGGCATGGTTTTTCTAGGACACAACTCCTGGAATAACCCAACAGAGGCAGGAGTCACTGCAGAGCCCACGCTGGCAGGGTGTGCTGCTCCTCTCCTCAGCTGCTGGGGCTCCCTGCAGAGCTGAGCTGCCCACTCTGCCTTCTCCTTGAGACCTGGCTTGCAGTTACCACTCTATCTACCTCAGGTTTAACTTCTGGTGAAAAATAATTGCTTTTTGTTGGTTTTTTTTTTCCCAAACTCTAATCTTAAGCTTTTAATAAGCAGCAAAATTTTGAGCTCATCTCATCTTTGGCAGGCACTCAGTTGATTCAGAATCCAAACCCACTGAGATGGGAGGCTCTCAAAACACCTCAGTCAAGACTCGAGATTCATTTTTAGCCTGTGAAACCTTCCCTGAAGCATTTCTGAAGGCCAGCACAGAGCTGAGTCCAGACTGTCTCCTGGGGGAGGCTCCTTCCCACCTCGCCCTGTGGCAGGTCCTGCTGGCCAGGCCTGTCCCAGCAGTTCTGCATTCCCGTGCTCCAGCCATAGCCCCCAGCCCCTCACAGAGCCCGTGCATTTCCCTTGCCCTGTGTGGAGCAAGTGGAGCTCATTCCTGAGCTGCCTTGGGAGCTGCTGTAGCTCTGCCCAACCTCCAGCACCTCTGGAAATGTTCATTGTGACCAAAGTCGGCTTTCCTGAAGAACGTTTGGATGCATTTCTAGAGTCTCGGGCTCTCTAAAGGAGACTGAAAGCTGTTCCTGTGACAGTGTGAAATGTCACCTGGCTTTGCTCTGGAGGTGGAAGGGCCATGGCAGAGTTGGGGGGCAGCCTCTGGTACAGGAATTCCCATTTAACAGCTTGGGCAGCAGCAAACCCCTCTTTTTCAGGTGCATGATAATGGCAGGAGCCCAGGTGTCCCACCTGCAGCTGCAGGAGGCTCCTCTGGACTGTGCTCTGACACTCCCTGTCCTCCCGGACCCGCCGCACCAGGAGCTCCCAGTGACCATTCACAGCAGAGCAGGCATCCAGGGATTTCTGATCCAAAAGCCCTGGGAAGTTCAAGGGACAGGTTGGCTGATCCCCTCTGGAAACCTTCCCTTCCCCTCAGGGGAAAGCCCTGGAAAATCAGAGCAGCTTTACCCAGGATGGCCATGGACAGCTGGAATGGCAGGGCACGAGTGAAGTCCTTGGGCTGGCTGCCATCAGAGCCTGACGGGAGTGACACAGGAGCCATGGTGGCATCTGCACCAGCTGGGGACAAAGGTGAGCTGTCCCCTGCATCGGGACCTTCCTGGCAGGGCACTCAGTGCACTGGGGCCAAAGGCACGTTCTGGAGCTTGGCCAGCTGGAAAACAGGGAATGTACAGTCCTGGAAGTGCTCGAGATCTGGTGCCACGGACAGCAGCACTGCCAGCAGTGCCCTGGAAGGGATGGGTGGTTTTTAACTCGTCACTTTGGCTCTGTGCAAGTCACAGGAAAGCGCTGGGAGCGCTCCTGTTCTCTGGGACAGCACAGAGGCAGCCCCAGGGATGGGCACGGGAGGTGACAGCCCCAAGGGAACAACAGGGGAGGGGACAGCCCCAGGGATGGGCACGAGAGGGGACAGCCCCAGGATGGGCACGGGAGGGGACAGCCCCAGGGAACAGCACGGGAGGGGACAGCCCCAGGATGGGCACAGGAGAGGACAGCCCCAGGATGGGCACGGGAGGGGACAGCCCCAGGGATCAGCACGGGAGGGGACAGCCCCGGGGATCAGCACGGGAGGTGACAGCCCCAGGATGGGCACGGGAGGGGACAGCCCCAGGGAACAACAGGGGAGGGGACAGCCCCAGGATGGGCACGGGAGGGGACAGCCCCAGGGAACAGCACGGGAGGTGACAGCCCCAGGATGGGCACGGGAGGGGACAGCCCCAGGGAACAGCACGGGAGGTGACAGCCCCAGGGATGGGCACGGGAGGTGACAGCCCCAGGATGGGCACGGGAGGGGACAGCCCCAGGGATGGGACAGCCCCAGGGATCAGCACGGGAGGGGACAGCCCCGGGCTCCAAGGGGCACGGCAGGGCCCCTCGTGCCAAGGCCATGGCACCGGTTTGCTGGGAGCAGGGGAAAGCCTCTGCCTTCAGCCGCTGCATTTCCATCAGCACGGGTACGGCTGGAGCCGGGACATTCACAAGCAAAGGGAGGGAGCCGCTCACCTGCCCGGGGCTCCCCGGCACCGGCACCGCCACGGCCGCGGCAGTTACCGAAACCTGCAACCGCCCCGGGCTGCTGCCGGAGCCCGCGGACACAGCCCCGCAGCGGAGCAGGCGGCGCCGGGACGCGCGGGGACGGGGGATGTCGAGGGGTGGTGCCGGGGGATGTCGGGGTGATGGGGGATGTTGGGGTGATGGGGGATGTTGGGCTGAGGGGGATATCGGGGTGCCAGGCAGGTGCCAGGGGATGTTGGGGGATGTTGGGGGATGTTGGGGAATGTCGGGGAGCCGGGGATGCCAGCAGCTCCCCCAGGATGGGCACCCACAGCCAGGGCAGGGCACCATGGCCGCCCCGAGCGCAGCTGGGCTGGGCAGTGACACAGATGGCATGGAGCACCCCGGGAAGCAGGGCACGGGTGGCCTTCAGACACCTGTTTGGGCCCAAAGCCGTGTTTGGTTTTACACGTGGGAGCCCAGAGGTCACGCAGTTCACAGGCACAGTGCTGAGCCAAGGCTTCAGCAGAGGCTGAGCAAAGGCTGCGGTCACACACGTTTTTGGCAGGTGGCTCTGCCTGCCTGAGCGTCCCCAGGTGAAGAAAAGAGCTGATTTAGTTATCTAAAGGTCACAAATGTGCTTAGAGCCAGAGTAAAGGCTGGTTTGAGCATCGTTTGGGACAAGGCACCCCAGGACTCACCGGGTCCTGATCTCACCTCCCTCCAGCAGGGCACAGCCACCTCCCCCAGGGCAGAGTCCCTGCTGTGCCCCTGTCCATGCTTGCAGGAGCACCCCAGCAAGGCAAACCCCACCAAAGCCAGCTCTGAGACCCCTGGAGAGCCCAAATTTCCCCCATAGCCTGAAATCCCAGGCTCTGCAGGGTCCCCAAGCCCCAGTGCTGACACAACAGCTCTGCAGCACCCTCACCCCGGGCAGGGGGAACGGGAGGGCTGGGAGCACAGCCCACCCTGCCTGCTCCCCCCAGGGAGACTCCAGCAGCTGCACACAGGGCTGGACGGGCTCCTGAGGGTTCCTGGAGTTCAGTATTGCTGTGAAGGAATCACAGAAGCACAGCCCAGCAATGAGATAGCAAGTGTGTGTTTTTGGAAGGTGAGACAATTGGAATTGTTCAGCCTGGAGAAGAGACTCCAGGGAGACCTCAGAGCCCTCTCCAGAACCTGAAGGGGCTCCAAGAGAGCTGAGAGACACTTGGGACAAGGAAGGGAAGTGACAGGTCAAAGGGAGTGACTTCCAACTGCTGCAGGGCAGGGTTAGATGGGACACTGGGCAGAAATTCCTGTCTGTGAGGGTGCCCAGAGCAGCTGGGGCTGCCCCTGGATCCCTGGCAGTGCCCAAGGCCAGGCTGGACACTGGGGCTGGGAGCAGCCTGGGACAGTGGGAGGTGTCCCTGGGACAGTGGGAGGTGTCCCTGCCGTGGCAGGGGTGGCACTGGATTGATGCCTGGGTGATTTCCTGGCTCGAGCTGTTCTGGGAAAGGTGAAGGCACCCCAGGAAGAGCCATGGAGCTGAAATCCTGTGTCTGGGAGGCTTGGTGGGAAGAAATGGATGCAAGAGGCACCACAAATGTTCTTGTAAACACCAGCATCCTGTTGTGATGGTTATTTTTATTGTTCTGAATCCTTCACCAAACTGAGAGAGCCCCTGCCCAGCCAGGAGCCCCAGGCAGCCCTGGCACGAGGAGCTCGAGCAGGGGCATGGGGATGGGATGGGATGGGATTGGGATTGGGATGGGATGGGGATGGGGATGGGGATGGGGATGGGGATGGGGATGGGGATGGGATGGGATGGGATGGGATGGGATGGGATGGGATGGGGATGGGATGGGGATGGGGATGGGGATGGGGATGGGGATGGGGATGGGATGGGGATGGGGATGGGGATGGGGATGGGATGGGGATGGGGATGGGGATGGGATGGGATGGGGATGGGATTGGGATTGGGATGGGATGGGATGGGATGGGATGGGATGGGATGGGATGGGATGGGATGGGATGGAATGGGATGGGATGGGGATGGGGATGGGGATGGGATGGGGATGGGATGGGGATGGGATGGGGATGGGATGGGGATGGGGATGGGGATGGGATGGGATGGGATGGGGAGGAGAAGCACTGCCACCTTCCTCGTGTTCCTGGCTCAGGAAGGGAAGGGCTGGGAGCAGGCTGCTCATGGAGCTGGTGGCACAGGTGCCTGACAGGTCTCACAGGAGAAGCTCCAAGCCCAAAGTGTCCCTGCTGTGGTGGCTGTGCCCTCGTGGCCACAGGGCAGGGGTGGAGGCACCTGGAGAGCCTTTCCTCGTCCTGCTCTCCCAGCTTAGGAGGACACCAGGCGTGGGAGAGCGAAGAACTTGCCCGGGATCGCCCTCCTCTCGATCTCGAGCCACAGGGAGAACAAGTCCAGCTCCCTGTGCTCCGTGGCCAGCTGGAAGGTGAAGCTCTGCAGCAGCGTGGTGAGGAACAGGAAGAGCTCGATGCGGGCCAGCGCCTCCCCCGGGCACATCCGCTTCCCTGGGCACGAGAGAGGGGTGACCCCGGGGGACAGCAGGGAGGGCGGGCAGCCCATGGGGCGGTGGCGCTGTGCTGCCCCTGGGTGCCCATGCTGGCAGTCCTGGGCACGGAGCTGGCAGGGCGGGGCAGCGCTGACCTGCTGAGAATGCCATGAAGGCCTCGCGCTTCCTGAACTCGCCCTTCTCATCCAGGAAGTGTGCGGGGTCCACTTTTTTGGGGTTCTCCCACTGGGTTGGATCCGAATGCACAGAGGAAAGGACCGGAATGACAGGAGTGCCCTGTGGGAGAGGGATGGGGCAGGGATGGAGGAGGGACATCGTGCACACCTGGGCTCTGCTGGGGTGGGTTAGGCAGGGGGGGAGGCTGGGTGTGCACCCCAGTACCCGAGCAGGTTCCCATGGGGAAGCAGCCTGGATTGGTGGCTCTGTGCCACTGGGACAAAGGACCCGGGGCTCTGGTGTCCCCATGGTCCTGCCAGCCTCTGTGCAGCTCATGGGACACAAATTGCCGAGTTACTCCTGTGGATTGCTGTTAAGGCCCCTCTCACTGCCCCAAACCCAAGGCAGGAGATGTTCCCTCAGGGTGGGTTTTGCGCACTGTGCTCGTGGTCAGGCAGCAGGGGTGGCTGTCCCCACATCTGTCCCCACATCTGCCGAGGGCTGGGGAGTTTGGCCTGGCCCCAGCCCAGGCTGGGCTCCTGCTCCTGCCCCGCAGCCCTGCACAGCTCCATGAGGGGAAGAGCAGTTTTCCAGGATGGGCAAGGAAGGGCCCCGGGCTGGGGGCAGGACAGGCAGACACTCACGTGCCTCTACTCCCCTCTGCAAGGTCATCGCTACCGAGGATTGGGAAACACCCGGGGCCTTCAGACGTGAGCAAACAGTCAAAGGACAAAGGCAAATGGCCCTGAAGCGCCACTGCCCCCTCTCTGCAGGTACCCCCATACCTTGGGGATGGTGTAGCCCCTGAACAGGACGTCCTGCGTCGTCATGCGTGGGAAGTTCTCGATGCGGCTCTTGTGGAAGCGCTGCAGCTCGTGGATCACGGCGTTGGTGTAGGGCATCCGCAGCTTGTCCTCCGTGCTGGGGGCACGGCCAGCGCCCACCACGGCATCGATCTCCTCCTGGACCTTGGCTGGGGACAGCAGCGGGGCTGGGTGCCTGCTCTGCAGCCTCCCCAGGGTTTCTTAGTGGCCTCCACGGGCACTTATCCTAAACCCAGGGGTGGGCTGGAGGGGGAGCAGCCTGCCCTAATCCCTTGGAAAGCCCAGAACAGTCTCTGCCCTCATCCCGCCCTGCACCAGGCAAGCTCAGAGCATCTCCCACAGCCAGTCCAGGGCCATCTGCACGGGCAGGGATGGAGCACAGGGAGGAGCACCCGGATCCCCCTGGCCTGTGGGAATCAGCTCCCACCCTTGGGTGACCCACAGGATGATTTGGGTCTGCCCCCAAGCAGGACCTCCCAGGGCTGGGACCCTCTGCCCCATGAGCATCCCGGGCACAGGAGCAGCTGTGTTTTGCT